TAAGCCTTTCCCCCTCCAATTTCCTGAAGAGTTAATTTGTATTTAAGCTATGATTTAACAGGAGAAGTGTCCTACATTATTTAAATTTAGGGTTTGTCAGATCAGTAAGGTGTTGTCTGCCATTGTCTTCCTGCACAAGAAGTTACATTTTAAATAGTTGTGGCTTTCAGTTCAAGTGACGTTTCCTCTTCAGGGACATTCTTGCATAGTACAGTTTCAACAACTGCTGCTGAAGTCCTGAGATGTGGATCTTATTTCTAAATTCTGACAGAGGCAGTACTAGACATTGGCATTGAATTTCTATACCTTGCGTACTTCTACTTTTTGCTGAATTTTTGACTCAGGATCAGAGTGATTGGTGAATTACAGGAATTAAAGATAAACTATTTTTCTATTTAAAATGTCATCGATGTCAGCCTGCTGGTAGTATGTTTAATTCCGTATGATTTTAGGAAAAAAACCCAACTAACTCTTTTAGAATAAAACCCATATGTAGTGCAGCTCGTGTACAAAAGTGACAAAATACAAGAAAACTGGGGAAAGAGAACAGAAAGGGGTGCAGGGTACTGGTGAGTCAAGGAAGGGCTGACCCTGAAAGTACCCTTCTGAAAATCCAGCCTCAATTCCATTTGCCATTCACTGGTCAAAAGGTGGCAGATTGGAAGATATTTGGTATGTGACAGTCATTATGAAGAAAATTTCTCATTCAAGGAATCTTTGATAGCAGATTAATAGGAGTTGTAGAAATTGCAAGCATTTGCACACCTGAAAACTTGTCTTACTTTTCTTTACATTGTTTATTGTACAGCTGCATGTAGTGAACAGTATTGTGTCCACTTCCAAGCCTTGGCTTAAAATAACTGGAAAAAGTGTAGGAAAGAAAGAAAGGGGGGAATTAAAGGGGAAAAGAAATTGAGTTTGTAGAGCAAAATATTTGGTTTTGATTAATTTGTAGTAGATAAAAATCTTTGTGGTGCACTTATAGCTAGGGTCCAGGTCACCCAGAGAAGGAATCACTCCTGAACTATGGGAAAGTAGATTAAATGGGTTGGTTGATCTCTCTCTATTTACGGGCTATGTGAGTCTCTTAAAGAAATTACTCTCATGACTTAATTTGGCAAGAAAAGTTGAGTTTGCATTTCACTTATTCCCCAGTGTAGGCTCAGACTCTTTCTTTCAGAAAGTGTGCTTCTAATGGGGAGTTCTAAACAAGAGCAGGAGGGACCTAATGTCAGGGATCTCTGACTATGTGGTGTGTCTGGGAGGTTCTGAAATACTTCAGCTGAATCCTGTAATTTCAGCTGTAATTTCTTGGCTACATCACAGAGCTGTGGCAGAATTTTTTTCTTGGCTACTAAGTTACCTGTAAATCACAGGATCAAAGGAGGGGACCGGCCTGTGAGTGCTGTAATTCAGCTCCTCTGCCCTGGGGAAGGGTCAGTAACACCTCGTTTTCCTGGTACAGCTTTAGGATTGGTCTCAGTGCTGCCGGGATCTCCTCAGGCAATTTGTTCCCCGGCTTTGTTTGCCTTCTCTCGAAGTAGTTTTCCTCCTTTAATTGAGATCATCTTTGATTAAATTTAAATCCGAATGGCTATTCATGTGTTGGCTATAAACAAGAACAGTTTGCTGCAAAGGGAAAAGTAACAGCTCTTTGTATTTATTTATGTAAACTGTTTGGAAGTGTCATTATTGTCCACTCTGTTTTTCATTCCTTAAATTAAGCAACTTCAGATTATTCAGTCTTTCATAGTAGAAGTCACTGAGTAGATTATACTATCAATCACATCTCTCCTTTCAAGATCCATCTGTAGCCCATACCTTACTCAAAGTAAGCGATCAGTAAGAAAAGTAAGGAAATAAAAGTTCATAACCTGATTTGCTACTGAAAATCCCCATCTCAAAATATTATCTTACAACTAAGTACCACTGATGATTTTGTCTATCAGTATAAGGCATTATAATGTTCCTTTTTTTATTTTTGTTTTTCCTTAACTAGCTGGATTAAATCTTCTTGTGCTGTGTCTATAACTCTTTCACTATGAAGGCTAGGGGGTGTGAAATTACTTTGATTGCCTTCAGTCATATGAAGCATCATTTTATCTCAACCAATTCTTGCTGCAATGAAGTTTGGCAGCTGGAAGGTTCTCTCTGTACTAGGCTGACACTTTTCACTATTCAGTTTCTACTTCTGCAAAATGGTACATTTCTTATGTTAGTGAGAACTTGAATTACTTGGAGGTTATAGTTTTTAGCTGTTGCTTGCATGAGTGTCTCTGGCATTTAAAAAATGAGGTGTACTGAACCATTGTAGAAATGATTAAATAGTCCAAACAAGTGAAACCTTGTCTGATAACAAAGGACTATTAGTTTTACAGTAAGAAAATTTTACTGCAGACTGAGTTCAGACCAGAAGAGTGTCTCTGTGTGTAGTCATAACCATTTTATATCAGAGGTAGAGCACATTAATGCATAGTGTAAGTATGGGCAGTGAATATTCACTGGAAAAATCACAAACTGAAGAATAGCTTGTTTAGTTGGTCAAAGTGTGAGCCAGTGGTTCTGTTATTGGATATGGAAGCAAATGTAGCAGCCAGAAGGACCTTGCTGCATGTTCTAAGTTTGACATTATGTGGTATTAGGTTGTACAGGCTATTGGATTTTAAAGGCTGTTGCCAAATGGGGTATGCACAAGAAAAAAGACATTAAATCAAATGTAGCAGCCAGAAGGACCTTGCTGCATGTTCTAAGTTTGACATTATGTGGTATTAGGTTGTACGGGCTATTGGATTTTAAAGGCTGATGCCAAAGAAAAAAAGACATTAAATACAGAGACATCTGCTCCTGTTTTCAAATGACATGGGAGAAATGGGTAACATATCACACTAATGCAGATGCTTTTTATTAATCAGAAGTTATAATTAAATGCAGTTTTTTCTGTGGCTGGTGATGAAAGTGTGAGAGCAACCTCAGAGGGGGGAAATGTTTCAGATTATGTAGACCACAACTGACTATTACACAGCAGCAGCACAAACCCTGTGCTGGCTTGCTTGTTGTATTGTAATGCTGTGTTCAAGTCGTGTTTGCAAACCACGCTGCAGCCCAGCCTGGCCTGTGTGCAGCCAGCTGATGAGGAGTGTGTGCTCCCTGGCACACTGGGGCACAGCTCAGTTACCACAGTGTGGTGCCTGTGATGAGAGACCCGGGGTGCAGATGGTAACCTTGGGCTGTCAGACAATAATGTTGGAGGCAAAATCATTAATGGAAGTTACGGGTTTAGGTTCTCCTGCTGTGGAGGGGGAGAAGTGACAGACAGACAAGGCTGGCTTTCCAAAGTTCATGTTGAGGTAGCTGCACTAGAGTAGGGCTGGAGAGGTATGGCAAACATGTTTGTGGACAGTGCCTTTTCTTGTGTCCCAGCTGAACTGATGCATGTGTGTGCTCATTGGTACAAAACTTGTTCAGAGTATTAATAAAGTACTTAAAGGATGCTCATTTAAAAGAATGTTCTGCACACTAATAACTGTGAGAATCAGATATTGGGAACCTGCTTTAAAACTTATGATTCAACTAGTTGTTCAAGAGAAGCAAGAGAAAAACTGCAAGTTCGAGTACTTTGCTCAGTGCAAAACACGGAGAAATCCTGACTGTATCTAGCTCCAAGATGGGTAAACCTTGGGGATGGGTGATGGTGACTGAAACTTCCTGGCTGTGCTGGTACCTTTCCAATCACAAGGTCAGGATGTTTAAAATATTTGGCTTGAGGGGTTAACTCTCCTTGTGGGGAGACCCTGCCCTTCCTAATCCTTCCTAGCTTCCTTCATGAAAAGGATCCTCTGCCTTTGGGGTTCTTTCTTTCACTTGCCTTGTGCTGCTGAGTGGTGAGTATGGACTAAGTGGCACTGAAATCCAGACCAACCATTTATCCCATCTTTTATTGAGATTTCTCTGAATGCAGGATTGAGTGGGTCATCCTGAAGTGGTAATGTGGGGACTGGGGTAAGAGTGGTAATACAAGAGTTAACTCTAGCAGCATTTTGGGTTGGTTGGAAATCAACCTGTCCTCTTACATTATTGCCTTTGTAAAAAGTTCCACATTAGATTGGAGTTCCTGAAATATTATTGCAACCACCAGCACTCTCCATTGTTGAAGCGTCAGAGTTCAGCAGAGCAGCAAGTGTCTGTTAACCCAATTTCATTACCAAAAATGACCTTATTTCCTGCTTTTGGTAATATTATAACACATTTCCAAGCTTTGCATCATGCAATTTTTCCATTGCTGAGAACAAAGAAAATCTATTTCTATCCAGATAGTCCAGAAGAAAAACCAAAAAAATTTACCCAACCCAAAATCAACCAACAAAAAAAACCCAAAAAAACCCACAAACAAAAACAAAACAAAAAAAAACAAAACAAAAAAACGCCACCACAAAACCCCAAAGCCTTTGGCAGGCAGAGCCTAAGACAAGTTCCTATGCCATTCCATTTCTCTTGTGACTGTGGAGAGAATGGCTGAACACCGAGGTATTCGTGCTCCCCTCTTACTCTATTGTATTGGAGGGGTGCCTCAATGTTGGAAGGAAGGAATGATGAATCTGACTCCATGTTCTCAGAAGGCTAATTTATTATTTTATGATACTATATTATATTAAAGAGTGCTAAACTATACTATACTAAAGAATACAGAAAGATACTTACAGAATACTAAAAAGGTAGTAATGAAAACTCATGCCTCTCGCCAGAGTCCTGACACAGCTTGGCACTGATGGGCCAATAAGTCAAAAGAACTCACAGCAGAAACCAATAAAACAATCTCCAAACACGTTCCAAAGGAGCAAAACACAGGAGAAGCAAATGACATAATTACTGTTTTCCTTTTCTCTGAGGCTTCTCAGCTTCCCAGGAGAAAAATCCTGGGCGAAGGGATTTTTCAGAAAATATGACTGTGACATGATTCCAGCGTGAGCTGCGATTCCTAAGCCCGTGCGTTGTGTCCGCAGGTTCCGCAGAGGATAGAGGAGCAAGGCGATGGCGCCGAGGACAGCGGCGGCGGCGTGCCGGGCCTGTGGGGCAGCTGGGGCCCCTGGTCCGCCTGCTCGCGGAGCTGCAGCGGCGGGGTCATGGAGCAGACGCGGCCCTGCCTGCCCGCCTATTACCGGGAGCGCGGCTACCGCCGGCCCGGCCGCCACTTCCCGGCCTCGGAGCGCGCTCTGCCCCACCCCAGCGCCCACCACGAGGACTCGCTGTCCGCCTACCCCGGCCACGTCATCTCGGCCATCCGCACCTCGGTGCCGCTGCACAGGAACGAGGAGCAGCCGTGGGCCGCGCTGCGGAACAGCAGCCAGGCCGGGCGGGCGGCGCTGAGGGGCAGCCGGCACTCGCAGGGCCCGCGGCACAGCGCCAGGCCGGACAGGAGGTACGGGCGTGGGCACGGCTTCCCCGGGAGTGGCAGGGAAACCTGGGCTCTGCACACCTACAGGGGAGTTGTTAGAGACCAGGAATGACTTTTACGGTGTTCGCTGCCTTCTGCCTTACTGCCTTCAAGGCCCTCCCTTGACTACTTACGTGATGTCCAAGGGCAGATGTAATTATTCTACAATTTAAGCAGTTTATCTCACTTCCCTTTAAGATTAGTGTTGTGATTTATTGAGAGGTTTTTCCTTTTCTGCTGCACTCTTATTTCACATTTCCATTAAATATCAGAACAAATGACTGTTCTATAATTGTATTCTTAACTTCAGCAGCCAGTCTGATATTAAGTGGTTGAAAAAAATTACATTTTCATAAAGAATGGTCAACCATCTGTTGACTTTAGTTCTACTCAAAACTCTTGTTTTATATTTCTATTTGTTGCCTTTTTGTTTTCTCTTTTTTCTTAGTCTACCACCTCTTCTAGCAAAATTTCCTGTTTGTTTAATATATAGAATATTTTAAACACTGCGTATATTTTTATTAATTTCACAGTAACAATCTTTAAGGCTGGGTGAAGCTGTGCTGTTATTACAAGTAATTCCAATTCATTTTCCCACTTTTGGAAAAACACTAATTTATCCACTTAGATACCAGTCTATCAGATTTTTTTATGTATGTGTGAAAGGAAAATAGATGTGTTTCCAGTCTGGATACTGAGCAGAACAGGCTTGGAGATCCCCTGGGATGGAGCACTCCTTAAATGTCTGTTCTCTCTGTCTTTCTTCTGTATACGTATTCCAGCAGCTCTCTGGTTCTTTCCCTCTCAGCTCTCTTCTGGGAGATGCATGAAGAGAAGGTTTTTGTGGTAGCTGACAAAAACACCCAAACCAAATAAAACAGAAAACACCCCAGTCCCCTCCTGCAAACATAACCAAAGAAACCTTCCTTCATATCATCTGCATCTTTAAGATTCCTAGTGAAGCAGTCAACTGTAATTCCCTTTTTAAAGATATTTTGCTGTCCTTAACAGCATAAGAAAGAATATTACCTTGAGGCAGTATTCCAGCCTGGCTGGAATAAGACAGTAGATCTCTGTTGCTGCTGAGAAACTGCAAGAAACTCTGTCCATAGAAAAGAATACTTGAAAATAGAATTAACCTGTAAAGCTCCTGCCTGCCTCAGTGAAGCAAGAGTTTCAAAAATTGGGACCAGCTGTTCAGATGTTGATCTTCTCTGGTGTTGCCAGTTTCCTTTGTCATGCTTTGTCTTTCTGTCAAACCCATGCAAATGACAGCCCAGACCTGCTGGATATACAGTCAGTGTAGCACTGATTGTCTAACAGAGGCTAGGGGAGTGCCAGAGACAGGATTAGCAGTGTTAACATGAGTGCATTGAGACAAAAGTCATATTTCCTTTTTTCTGTTTTCCTACTTAGTAACTGGCTGTAATGCACTTCTGTTCTGGGCTGTGCAGTGTGACAGCCCCAGGCTGTGGTGCGTGCCTGGGTTATTGCTGGCACTGGGAGCCTGCCCTTGAACTGCCAGCACAGAGCCATCCAAAGGCTCTTTGCGCTGGCCCTTGGCACCTCTGGCTCCCAGGGAATCCCAGCTGGCCTGGCTCTGCACAGCCCCACTGCCTCTGCTGGGCTTCCATCCCCACGGGCTGTCCCTGCTGCTCTGGTGGCCTCTGCAGGCCAGCACACACTGGAAGGGTTTGGAGCAATCACTGCAGGACTGGCTGGAGCACGACACTGACTGTGCAGAGCTGAAACCGTGTTATTTCCTAAGAAATGCCTTGCCGTATGAAATATTAAAAAGCTCACTTTCCTATACGATGGAGACGTTTGCTTTTGAAAATTCTTGTGCTTTCCTAAGCACAGGGCAAACTTCTGTACCACAGTTGATTTTCCACCCCCACACACTCTGCCCCTTGGCAAAAGACTGGATTCAAGGTCAGTGTTTTAATCTTACTTGCATAATAAGTTATTTCCATCTTGTGTTAGGAGGTCCCTGGTGGCTTTAAAGCCTGTTGTATTGCATAACTTTCAGATTCCTTGGTGATGACTGTAAAAACAGAATGAGAACAAAAAATGTTATTTGAAAATGGAGTCATTTGAATGACAAACCTAATAGTTTTCCTTGATTTGCAAAATTCAGAGTAAAAACTTTCTTTACAAAGGAGATTACTGTTCCTATCAGGTATATGGAAAATGCATTTCAAAATGTGAGTTACTCTATACCTCATTTTTATACTGTAGAACTGTTTAGTGTTCACGAAAAGGATGATATTGGAAATTCATGTCAGGCTGTTAAATAACACTTGTGTTTTCAGAATTTGTACAGTTAGTGGAAACTTTTTGGGGTATTTCTATTTACTGTACTGGACTTTATATAAAAGCTGTAATTTTAGCAGACTTCCATAGAACAATAAGAGAGGAATGGACATCTGTGACTGAGATAAGCTCACATTGATAACATGGTAGAATGAAATTGGAGGGCTTCCAAGGAAAAGATTTTTGACAGCAATGGCAGCCCTATGCAGCAGCCCAGTGTGTTTGTATCATTTACCAGCAAGAGGAAGTGTTCTCTGCCTGCTTCCAAGCAGCTGATAAAGAAATGATGCGGGATTTTTTAGCAAAATCCAAACTAGAACTTGTATATAATAAAATCTGCTATACTTTGTCTTTGAAGAGGGTATTCACATTTTCAGCTTTCAAAACTTAATTTAGTTAGGCATTAGAAACCAGGACTGCATGAGAAGTTCAGGGTGAGCGAGGTTTGAGGTACCTACAATTAGAAGCCTGGTTTAAAAAATTTCAGTGCTCCCCTGTTTAACTCAGTGCAGTAATTGAAAATTACTGAAATTGAAATGTGTTAATTACAATCACTGGTTGTCCACTGGCAGAGGCAGGGAGCTCTCCCCAGCTTTGAAGAGCTGAGTTCCCTGTAGCACAGACTTGGTTTGTTATTTTTCACCTAGCTAAAGTGCATGAAGCACACACACACTAAGGACAAACATGGAAGAGGAGACAGTGAAAAAATATTACAGCATTTAGACATCTTTATTGAGAGGCACATACAGAAAAGTAATAAGGGCATACAGAAAGATAAGATGCTTTAAGAGAGAAAACACATCTTGAAAGGAAATATTATTTGTGGACAAGGTTTTAGTACTTCTTAACTGTTGCATTTCCAGTTCTCTGTTTTGGTGATGGAGAAGACAGAACCACAATTCCTCACCAGTATGTTGAGTGTAGGATGTTTACAGCTGCCACCTTCACTTTTGCTTCACTTAGGCTTTGGTGGGAGAGCAGCAAACCTCAGTGTCCTCTTGTGTGAGCATGATATATACTTTGTATCTGGGGTCATAGGAGCAGAAAGAAAAAAACTAGAATTATCACCAGAATAATGAAATAACTAAAGCATTCTTGCATAAATAGTGCAAGAAGTATGTTAATAAGGAAAGGGCTTTCCTAAAGCATTTCTTGTGTCTTTAGAAGAGTGAGGGGAAAAGTTTGCACTGAGGAAATAATCTAAAAATCATTGACTTCTCATATGCTGTAGCTCTGGGTCTTTATTCTGCTGCCAGCAGCTGACGTGCAAGTCTGCTGTGCTGCTCTGTACCCTGTACAGGGTCAGTTTGCATTTCTGGGCCTTTCAGCAATGGAAAGGAAGAGTGCATCATTTAATGTCAAACCAGAATTTCCTTTCTGAAAGTATTTCTTTTGCCTTCTCTCACAAATGCTCTGACCAGGCAAATGTAGGTCACTCTGTTGGCAGGTCTACAGTTAACTTTCAAAAGGACAATTCTGTTGTTATTTCCTTAACAGTAGCCACATGTTGTGATGCAATTTCTGTGATGTGTTCTAGTCAGTTCTGATTCCTGGAGGTGGAAAAATGTGTGATTGCTGCACCTTCAGGTTCAAGAAGGTATTATTTTCTCAAGTTGTGAGGCTTTATATTTATTGGCATGAGTGTTTGCTTTTCTTAGTATCTGGAATGAAACCCAGCTCAAGTACTTAGCCACCCCTCCTTTTATTAGTTCTCTCATAGAATGAAAATGTGATGGATTTTACCCCAAGCCCACTGTGGTTATAAAAGCTTATTGTGGGTTGGTGTGTGTACAGAAGGAAGATAGAGAGAGAAGGATTGGATCCCTTTGTAAGGATAAATTTTCCAGAAAGATCTAAGAGCAGCAGTGGTAATCAAAGAATTCATTTTGGTAGCACTTTAAAACCATGTGATGAAAGTGTTTATTTTCCTTCCGAATAAAATTCTGGAGAGGACCTATTAGCAATAATGGTCAAATTAGATATTCACCAAATGAGTAGCTAGTTGGGTTGGCTGAGGCCTCAGGTTGACTTTTTGCTGTCACACCTCTCATCTGGGTATTAATCCCCATGACATGCTCTAGGTCTCATTATTACCAAATCAATATAAATTTCTACTATGCTACTGCAAGCATGCTTTGAGTGGGATTACCAGAAATAAACCCCTAACAGAGTACAATAATTGCAAAGCAAAACCACCTAAGCTGTCTTATTCTTAATACTGAACACTTCATCCCTTTCTGAGCTGGGCTCACTGAAGGAGGGGAAGTGAGAACACTGCTGCTGTTTAGTCAGGTACCACTGAATTATTGCCCCATCAGTGAAGGCTAGAAACAACCAAACCTCCCATAAGGAGGTAAGGCATCTCAGCAGAGTTATGAGGTTACTTGCACTGAATTTCTGCTACTTTACCTGCCAACTGCATGGTTGCATTATGAAATCAAATCTTAAAGAGGAGGCTAAGAATTGCTTGGGATCAGAGGTATTCTTGAAAAAGAGGATTGAAGTATTTGGGTTTGAATTTTGAAATCCTATCGCAGTGTTGAAAGTCACATAAATGAGGTTATACAGTACTTGCTGAGAGACAGTAAAAGCAAATATACTAAGTTATTGTACTGGGCATATTGCAGCTATGCTGAACTGGGGTATCAGTGGTGATCTCTGAGGATGGAAAATTCCATTTAAGATAGGCCACATCGCGTTAATCAAACCTGTTCCCAAGAGACAGTTTATGTACCTTATTGATTAATTTTACTGTCTCAGAAAAATGTAAATATCTTTTCCCCCAGTATGATATAGAAATGAGAGTTTTTGTGGTGTAATGTGGTATAATCAATTTTTCTTCAGAAGAAACATTTTTTAGGCATTTTTGGTTACTCTGTGAATTCTAGCAGTTGAATTTTTTAGGACAAATATGCTTGTGATGATTTTACTACTCTTATGTATATGTGATAGATGGGAAGCAGTGCATATTCACAAATCATGGTGTGGTTACCAAGAATGTAAAAAAGGCAATTTGTTCCCATGCTTTAGTTCATGAAAATGCCAATAGTGAGATGCAGTGACAGCCTGCCCTGTTGAGCTGCCCTGCAGTGTGCTGCTGAAGGAACAACGTGCTGCAGTGTGGCACAGGCTGGTGTTCTGAAGGAACAACGTGCTGCAGTGAGGCACAGGTCGGTGATGTTGGCCCTGCTTTGCAGTGTGTGATGCTCTCTCAGAAGGCTGCCTGAGCTCTTGTGACCAAACATTTCAGTTATCTGCTCACTGCTGTAAGGCCAGTTTCTAGATCACTGAGCAGACAGGCATGCATTTAGTTACATGAAACAGTCAAAGGGCTCCCTTCTTTCATTCACGTTTAAGTGATTTTCTCCAGATTGATTTTGAGCTGGTGAAAAGTGAATTCGTGGAATGCAGAGCAGCACAGGTTGTGGTGCAGTGGGAGTGGCAATGCATGGTGGCTTTTGGTGGGAATCAACCTGACTGGCAGGAGCTCTCCTTGGGTAGATGGAAACATGTTCCCAGATCCAGTAGGTCAGTCATTTTTGCTAAAAATGATTCCTGTCAAAGAATCTACTAAAATACTGTGAGGTATAAACTTGCTAACAGTTATTAACAGTATAATACAGTTTATTTTGTGACTTAAGGGGGAAAAAATTTATGGTGGAATCTTTTTAAAGCACACCTTGTTAACTGTGTGCCTAATAATATATAAAGCATGAAAGAAAATTAAAAGCAGTAGGAGGGCTGGAAGGTAAATGATTGACTTGGACAATTGTAGGCCAGTCACAGTTATGAATTATGGAGGAAATGCCATGGATTAAAAGTGCATGTCTGAGATTATTTTAAGAACATTATCTAGTAATAAAAAAGTACATTAAAATATATATGGCCATAGTGATCCTGTTAACAGAAACTTACAGGATTAGGACCAGGTTTTTTCCAATTTGACATTTTGTGTCTCCAAGGACTTTTCCATATCCCTTTGGGTTTTTTTTTTCTTAATTGCATTTTAAATATTTGAGTAATATTTCAATAGCTTCATTGCTGACAGGAATAGCTAATAAGTCACTTTCATTTCTTCAGAAAAATAATCAAGGCAACTCTGTACCAAATACTCATACTGTGAGTAGGTGGGTAGAGTGTCCTTTAAAACCTGTCAATTAATTACAGTGCAGTGCTACAAAACAGATAATTTGCTATGACCTCAAGTATTAGGTTAAATATTGGCATAATTCTCCACAGAAGTAGATTTAATTAAGTTCATGTATGTAATTGATTCAGTTATAGAAGATTTTGCCTTCTAAAAAGCAGTTCTTTTAAAACCATGATGAGTAGAAGGGCTGAAATTTAAGCCAAACAGCTTTGATAGGGATCTCAGGGGACTCAGCTCCTTTAGAAGTAATTTTCTAGCCAAAATCAAAGAACTGCAGTTTTGCAGCATTTTTTGAAATGGAAATTAATAACAGCAATGCCAAAGCACAAATCAATATAGTTTAAAAGACTTTTGCAGTGATAAATAATGTGGAATATTTTTTGGGAAATAAAGTATAAATAAAATTAGTAACCTGTCTTCTGTCTTTTCTTCCACTTTCATCTTGCACATGAAACCTCTGTTTCTGCTGATAGGTAAGTGTTAAGTTCAGCTTGAGTAGGTGCTAGCTCTGGGTTGTTGCTGTGCTGATAGGGCACAACCACAGCCAGCAACACTTCAGAGAATGGATTATAGGCAGCTGCTGAATTCCCAAGTGAGGAGAACCCACAAGAACCTGGAAAATTCTGGGCCCTGGGCACCCAGAAGGGCAGCTGGACCAGGCTCACTGAGGACAGGGGTTTCCTCAGCATGTTAGAGGACTTCAGTGTTCATTCCAGGACAGGACTCCTGGTAAAGGAAGCCTTTGAAGATTTTGAAAAAAGCTTCAAACTTAACCAAACTCTACACAAAATTAAAATAAAGGTCTAGGTGTTGTTTTTACTCTATCTGAGAACCTGTGGTGAAATTCTCTTGTTTTTCATTAGTGTGATTGTTGTGATGGGAATACAGGGAAGAAAACCATCTCCCTCTGCCTGTGGAATTATTTCTGCCAAGAGAAAAAAAAATATCTTGAGGAAAAAAAATCTGTAATTCCTATGCAGTTTTTTTTCTCCTTATCCCTGGTGAAACTGGTGGCTGAATGTTGTTACCTTTCCAAAACATTACATTATGTCTTCAGAAACAGTGAAAGGTTGTGAATTGAAAATGTGAGAAATCAGAAGCTTCTTTGGGTTCATTCTAAGGAAACTTTCTAGCAGTTGTACAAGTCTTCCTTGTTGTCATAAATGAGTGGTTTTGCTAATGTTCACCCTTGCAGTTTTTCATTTACAAGAGAAGTACTTTGATACTAGGAGATAAGATAAATGAAATGCTGAAAAGCTCATGGAAATACATTCTTTATTCTGCCTGACATCAGAAGAGAAGGAAAACGAGTTATGCTTCAGCTGGAAGTAAGCCAGGGAACCTCCATTTAGAGGCAGTGGGAGAAATGTAAGGAGAAGGGAAGTGATGGAAAATGGGAAATAATGAAAAAGGTATGTTGGAGAAAGGCTGTGTAAAGAGCACTTAAGAGGTGGAGGCCCAGGAAATTTGTAATCTTACCTGTGTATTTTAAAGACACTGTATATCCTTAGTTCAAAGACAGTTTCTATTCAAGATAAATAACCAGCCCACCAGTTCTGAAAGTGCTTCAGTCTTGAAGACCACTTGAGGTTCAAAGCACTGTTCTTAGCATGAAGTCTATGAGGCAGTGATAATGCATTGATTTGCCAAGGCACACGTTTGCTTATGGCTAAAATTAGAAAAAGCTACGACAACCAAATTCCTTTTTGACACTGCAAATGTGCTAAGAGGGGCCAGTTTCTATTATTCACAGCTGACATATTCTCTGCATGAGAGAAATTGTTATAAGTTAGAACAGTAGGAATGCTCTATCATCATCATCGTCGTTTGCTACAACCCTTACATTAATAGCACAAAACCTGATTTTCTTACTTGTCTGGGCAAATGTATTTTTTGAAATAAAGAGTATATTTAGGTTGGCTTAAGTTTAAAGGGGCCCATCATTTTTGTTATCAAAGTGCTGAAGAGATTTGTCTGAGCAATCAAAGAGGTGTATGTGTTTATGAGAATTAAGCCCAAAGAAGGGAGATTGTCAGGTCTGCATTAAACAGCTGTTATGCCTCTTCTTGAGATGAACGCTGTAGATCAGAGATGTCTGCTGGCTGTGCGCTGACATGAATTACGTCATACTTTTCTACAAATATTTTCCTGTTAGGCAGTGATTTACCTTTAGATGGTAACTCCATTCTTGGTGGCATTTTTCCCCCCTTTTTGTCCTGACTGCAAATATTGTTGAGTACTTGATTTCCTCTTATTCTGTCTTGCTCTTCTTCAGCCTAGGGAACAACAGAAAAACTAATTCTGTGTAATCTCACTGTTGTTTAGGTCTGGCTAAGTAGGCACAAGGCTCACGGGTTCTCTTTCTTTCCTCTCCCGTATAGTTATGGAAAGCTTTTCTTTTCCTCCCTTTAATACCAAAACCCTTTATACTGCTCTCTCTGCTGTAATTACCAAAAGCTTCTCTCAACAATTTCTGTCATGGTCACAGAGCAGATTAACAGGGATAAACAGTTCAAGAGTGCTGGTTGCTTATCTGCCAGGGCAAATCAGCACTCTGGTTCACACATCTTGAGCCAGGAAGATTGATTAAAAGCCTCATGTGGCCATAAGGCTGGAATGGGAGGTAAATGACTTTCAGGGTTCCCAGCTAGCAAGAGTCCTGGGAGAATATAAGACTTGGGTAGAAAACAAACCCAAATAAAAACAAACTCAAAGAAAGGTCCCTTTGATCTGGTGGCTGTCTGACATCTGTAGCACTTCTGTTTCTAGAAAATAAGTATGTCAATTTATAATTTCTGGTTTTCACTGGAATTCAAGTCTGTTTTGCATATATATTAAAAACATAAATGTATTTTATGTACAGAAAGAAAATTATTTTTCTTTAATGGTGTCTCCCTTCCTGAGCTGCAAATGTCACCCAGAATAGCTGTATTCACTCATTGCTCTGAACTGGAAGAATTTGCCAACTCACTTGTCAGACTGCAGTGTTAGGATCAAGGCTTTCTGAGATTCCCAATACACCAAGCTAGACTACATCTTGTTCATATTTATTACAAGTCCTGTAAATACCTAACTGCTCCTTTGCTTATGGAGCCAGTAACCGTTTTTTCTCTCTTTCTTTGTTTTTAGAAGCAGAAACAAAAATCCTATTGGTCCAGGAAAGTATGGCTATGGAAAAGTGCCATACATTTTACCTTTACAAACTGATACTGGCCAGCAGCCTCAGAAGCTGCGGAGGCAGCGACAGTCGTCGAGGAGCCTGTTCCACCAGAGCCCCTACAGCCAGGCAGCTGCTCCTTCCCTGCAGCACGGCAACCTCTACCAAGAGCCAGCTGGGCCTCAGGCAGGACACCAAGTCCTGGGGCCCTCTGTTTATCAGTCCCCTTCGTTCCCTGTGTCCCAGAGCCTGTTCCACGGCGGTGACTCCAGCCCTCAGGCCCTGCAGGGCCAGCCCCAGCCCCAGAGGGCTGCAGCCATCGTGTGCATTGGTGCCTACAAGCAATACAAACTCTGCAACACAAATGTAAGTCTGCTTTTCCTGTGTTTTGTGTGTTGGACAGCTGATGGTTTTCCCTAGTATGCAAAATGTTCACTAATTATCAAGTTAAGATGAATTTTTTAAAAAATAAATTTAATGATTGGTTTTGTGAACTTACTTTAGAGTGTCTTGGGGAATACTGAAAGTAGATCCATAACATTACATTTACCTAATACTGTACCTTCAAGGGCTTTAATCAGTCACTTCATCTACCAATACATAGAATTCTAATTTGATGAAACCCGGGAACATGAGGGAATTTGACATAAGTATAGTAATTGAGAGAGGGAGAAACATGGGCTGAACAATGAAAATGCAGTAATGGTGGAAAATTTCAGTTGTAATTGTGGTGAAGGGACAGGAGAATTAATTTAGTGTAACTTTTCCACTTTCATTCAGTTTTTTGTGATGTTATTTTTATTTTTGTGTGACGAATGTAGATTCTATGATAATTCTTAAGTATTTGATTCACAGTGGTGAGGAGTGGAGCGTGTTGGGTTTGTGTGGCCAGGTTTTGGTAGAGGGGAGGGCTGGGGGGACTGCAGGTGTGGCTTCCGTGAGAAGCTGCCAGAAGCTTCCCCCATGTCCGACAGGGAAGCCAGTGCCAGCCAGCTCCAGGATGGAGCTACTGCTGGCCAAGGCCATCAGGGATGACAGTACCATCCCTGTGACACTGTACTTCTGAAGGAAAAAAGCTGTTGTAGAAGTGTGATGTAGCCAGAGGAGAGCAGAGTGAGAATGTGTGAGAGGAACAGCCCTGCAGAGGCCAAGGTCACTGGAGAAGGAGGGGCAGGAGGTGCTCCAAGCCCTGGAGCTGAGATTCCCCTGCAGCCTGTGGGGCAGCCCATGGTGCAGCTGCCTGGCCTGCTGCCTGGAGGGCACTGGAGCAGGTGATGGATGCCCTGAGGAGGCTGTCACCCCATGGAATGCCTGTGCTGGAGCAGGCTCCTGCCAGACACCTGCGGACCCATGGAGAGAGAGGAGCCCACACTGGAGCAGGTTTGATGGCAGGGCTTGTGACGCTGTGGGAACCACACTGGAACAGTTAATGAAGAGCTGTATCCCATGGGAAGTGCTCTCATTGGAGGAGTTTGTGAAGAGCTGTGTCTCATGGAAGGGACCCTGTGCTGCAGCAGGGGAAGGACTCTTACCCTGCTGCAGCAGAAACAACCTGTGATGAACTGACCATAACCCCTATTTTGTCTCCCTCCACCACTGAGGGAAAGAGGAGGAGATGGGAAGAAGGGAGGGCTAGGTGGTTTTGAGACTTGTTTTACTTGGCATTGTCATGCTCTGATTTTGATTGGTAATAAATTCAGTCAATTTCCCCAAGTCAGGTTTGTTCTGCCCATGACAGTAATGGGTGTGTGATCTCTCCTGATCCTTATCTCAACCCATTAACCCTTTGTTGTATTTTCCATTCCCTGTTCTGTTGGGGAGTGATAGAGCAGCTTTCGTGGGTACCTGTCACCCAGTCAGGGTGAAACCACCACAGTCACTGACAAGCCTAATGTTTTTCCATGAAATATATTGAAAAATGGAGTTTGGATAGGCCATGTTATGAAGGCTGTCTACTTCTCAGTCCCATAAGATGAGGTTATCCTTTTGTGAGTGCTAGTCATGTTCTAAACAGCATTTAGAAACAGCTCCCAGTAGCCTGGAGCGCTCCAGTGCCTTTCTGTGGTGCTCTGTGCATTCTGTTTCAGATGATACTTTTACCAGCATTCAGTTCTACATGCTTTGATTTTAACTTCCTAATTTATTGGAGTGAAAAATCTGTTCTGTGTTAATTTTAAAATAAAACTTAATCTGTTATTATTTGGGTCAGAATGTTTGTCTGGGTGTAGCTCCATGCTCCAGGCAGTCTCCCATTGTATGTGGGAGGCAAGTGAGGTTTTGTTCTTTGTCCCCATTAGTGGTTTTCATCCTGCTAAAATCTCCACTTTCTGCCTGTGCCCTTTTAGTATTTCCCAAAGTATGTCTTCCTAATACGTTTTTCTTATTTGTCCTACTAATCTAACTTACTGTTGCAAAGATAAAGAAGTCCGTATTTGGATATTAGAAGTAGAATATTCAGGAGAGATCTGGATAAGTTGACATGACAGGCCATATTTTTTTGAGCAGGTGAACATCTGATTCTTCTGCCTCCTAGAAATCCTGATTTGTTTAATGGAACCTGCACAGTGGAATATGTAACAATGAACACAGGATAACAAAAACACAACCTAAACAAATCCGATGAGTTCCTTTTGGCTTCTTAGTTATAACTCTTGCTTTATTTATGAATAAAGTCCATTGATTGAGACTAGAGCAGTTGATTGAAAAGACCTAATGTCAAAAAAGCTTTAGTGTATTTGTCTGGAATGGAAAACATGAACGGCTAATTTGAGCCTCTGAGAATAGTCTCTGGGACAAATTCCTCTTTCGAAAAACACTTTCTGTTTTTTGAAGGAAATGGGAAATGACCTTAGTGCATGGGCATTAATTTGGAAAGTTTTCTGAGCTAAATTTGCTCAGTGTCCAAGCGATACACAAATGTCCCAGTCTTTATTTCATCCCTCACACATCAGTGCACAAAGTTGGACAGTATTCTGCCTGACTTAATGTGACAAAATTGTTTCCAGGAAAAGAGGTCTTTTCAGAGGGCAAGGGGTAAGAAATGAGGAAGTTAGAAATGAGGTGGAAGAAAGAAGTAATCAGAGATTGCCAGGGTATGGAGAAGGAAGGTTTGTAGAAAGTGTTTGTTGAGAATGGCAGGGGGGATGGAGAGTAGAGGGCAGTGAGCTTGTGAATTGGACAGTGGTTGGACATGCGGGTCAGGATGGTGAGTGGTTTGGCCATTGACAGATTTCTTTTGATAGAAGAGAACAGGAGTGAAAATATTTTCATGTTAGTTTTAGAATCTGCTGTTTAAACAGAAGAATTCAACAGATGAAGAAGAAACATAGATGAGCACACTGCTGCTGCCTCTTTGCCACTGTTGCTTTTATAAATACAGTTATAAAGAAACCTGTAGTACAGGAGACTTAATAGCAGAGAGAAATTGTAGCTGAAGTAGCTTCTCCTAGGCATAGAACTCTACATAATGATATTCTTTATTTAGTAATGTTTCTGTTACCCTTGGAGAGGCTGTAATTGCTATTCAGGGTTATTTTGCTCCCCAGAATGTGGTAATTAATGTAATTATAAAAAAGAAGTTGCTAAGAACAGTTTTAGTATAAGGCCAGGATGAGAACAAAACAAGGCTGATAGTGTTTCACTTTGTTTGCTTGTTCTTCCTGATTAAATGCTTCTGCACGCGGGCTTTAATTTAATTTATCAGCAGCGACATGTACCAATGGTCTTGCCAGCAAGCAGAGAACAGTATATTTTTATTTCTTTCTTCTCTTCAGTTCTTTCTGGAGCATACCAAAACTGAAAATCTCATTTATTAGAAGTATTCTGTTAACCCTTATCCTAGTGTTTGGCCACTCCCTCTACAGTTTCTCCTGAGGGCAACTAATTAATAACAAATTAAGTTAATCTGCCTTGGTCCATTAGGTCATTTCCTCATTATTGTGCATTTATTGTTTTTTCATTGATAGCTGAACTCATTTCACATGACTGACAGGTTGATTCATTAAAGGTAAACTTGTGAGGTTTGGTTAGGGAGAGCCTCGGAAGTGCTTGTATTTGTTCAAGTGTTCCTGCAGGTCGTTAAACCTATTTTCTTATTATACAAGTGGCTTCCCCTGTTCAGCACCTTGCATACAAGCTCACCTCAGAACACACAGCTGCCTGTCACCCTCTTTGGCAGGAAACAGGCAGCAAACATCTCTCCTTACCCCGCAAACAGCTCTGGCTGATCTAACTGGAGCCACAAGCTACCTGCAGGGATTCTTCCACTGTAGTCTCAGTTCCTTCAGAAATAGGGAAGTGGTGAGTAAATCTCCCTTATTTCCTCCTGCATTAAAGGAGAAGGAATTATATGCATGTGTGGTTGAAGTAGAATTTGAATTCAACTTTCTTTGTGTGGTTTGTCACCAGAACAAAGGAAGCAACTCAAATGGAACATTTGTTTACTGAGCACTTTGTGTAATTAATTGTCTCGAGCATTGCCAAGCCACTAGCTCTTCATGAGTCCCTGAATGTGTGAGAATATATTTGTAAACCAAGTCCAGGCTGCAGGTCTCTTGGACAGTGTACACAAGGAAGCTTTCAGGCTTCTGGATACTCTGGACTACTTGAGGTAGTTTCGTGATGGTGGACACATGGCTGATGCTGAAAATGGTGGCAAGCATCAGCCCTTTATTATAAAGCAGTACAACTTTTTATACCTTTTTTCTCACATGCATAACACCTGTGTACCTTTTTACTCTTTTGTGATAGGTCAACACACATCAGCATTCCACACTTTTTCTCCTTCAGTGCTGCTCACCTGTCTTACACAGCTGCACCCCGTGAGGGATGAGGCCTGGCCACAGCCCCATTCCTGTTCTCCCACAATCTATTCTCCAACAGTTTCTGCGTGAAGAGTGATACTGAATAGATGTGAAATCTGAATTTTCATTAGCTATGTCTTGAGGCGTGAATTTTTGGCCAAATTCTTATAGGACTTTGGAACAGCCGGGGTAAAATGTATGAAAGAGTAACTCCTGAGGGCTCAGTGAAATATTTATGGATGAAATTTTGCTGAGCTTGTCCAGTTCCATTCCCAGTTGCTAGTTTGCCCGCTGGTTCACGTGGATTACTGTCATGTCTCCAGTTACACTGTGCTGTTTTTCTCAGTGTTCTGTGTGACTGGTGTTTAGCAAGAAGCCAGTTGTGTTGTGGAGAAGTATCTACATAGGATCAGAAGACAATGACTGCTTTTACTTTCTTGGCCTGCCTCTCCAGTTATGTCTGCTATTAATGTGGTAGCACAGTTATGGAAAATCTGGCTTTTTTTTGGTTCTGAATAAGAGTCCTCTGCTTGGATCTGTGTTCCTGCGTGCAGAGTTTTTGAG